CAGACTTGTGCAGATGTTTGGGAAACACTGACATGAGAACTACACCACTTGACCAGGTGTAAAAGACATCAGGAGTGATGAATTCCTACCACACTTCATATCCACTGGTTTACTACTCTGTGCCTCAGTTTACCTCCAATACTTGTTGGCTGCCTTTTCCATTTACATAGAATGAATGAGATCTTTGTGATTGTGCCAATAAGGAAAGGTTGCTTTCATCGGTCGTTAGGCTGCAATGCAATGCTTCACAGTGCAACGCTGGATCTGCAGCATGACTTTTGCAGTGGTCAACAACAAATGTCAAAAGGGGAAACAGAATGTGCAAGAAACAAATATGGACACTGATCCCCTCTGCAGACTGTGATTCTCTCCATCTTTACTACCTGCTTTGTTTAGGATAAAAAAAAACAACAACAAAACAAAGCCAACAACAAACAAATAAAAAAATCACGTAAGCATTAAAACGTCTTTTTTCATCCTTTACTCTCTTCCTGCCTCCAATAGCAATAATATCAGCTGCCTTTTATAAAGCAAGAACTCACTCGGTATATTTCAAGTGAGTGCACTTGGCTTTCAAAAACCTGCTGTAAAGGGAAATTATACGTCAAGGTGTAGTATTTCTGCCACAAATCATCCAGAGACATCATCAACCCCATTTGATTGAGTTCAGCACCATAATCATAAATACTCTTGCTTTACGACCATGCTGGAGTTCTTAACCAGGAGCAAACACAGGTTTTCCCTAGGCACCAAAAGCAGTTGATTCAGCTCCATTATGGGCAGAGCTGATTCACCAAGTACTGAACAAACGACAGGTATGAAATCCTGGCTCCTTGCAGACAGCGTGGGATGTGCCTCTTTATCCTAATTTGTCACCTTTGGTTTGGTTTTGCAGGGTGATAGAAGGGTTTGGTTTTGCAGCTGCCTTGTCCTAGCCCAGGACTGGCTGATAACAAATGTCCTCAGTATGGTTCAAAAGCTCCTTTGGACAGTAGGTCACTAACTACACAAAGATAAACATCATTTTCCTTTCTGATCAGCATGGATAATGGCCAACATCCTTCTGTTCTCCACCAGGGTCAGTCTCGAATTCATCCTGTGTTCTGCACTAGTTGAGAACTCATACTTCAAGAAAAAGAAAAGAAATAAATAAAATAATCAAGAATTTTTTTCCTGTGCACATGAAGAAGACTTGAAAGAAATTAAGGCTGAACCCATAGAAATCCACAAGCTGGTGAGGTATGCTAAGGAAATGGTGGAGTCAGAAGTACAGAAGGGCACGAGGCTCCCTTCATTGTGCTTCATGCTGGTCCCAGGGAGATGGGTACCAGTCCAAACAGACCATTTGCAGCTCAGGCCATCTGGAGAGTGGGAAGCCTCAACCAACTCAGGAGTGAGATGCTGTACAGGCAAAGAGAGAAAGCAAAGTAGGTGTGTCAGCAAAGGGAAAGTAAAAACCATAGTGTCAGAGAGGGGAGTAGGCTTGGTATGCCAATAACGATGATTACAGAGGGAGAGATTTTCTGGCCCTGATCCATGTGACAAAGTAGCACTAATATTTATTTGCTTGGCAGAGAGATTCATGGGGACAAGCAGACCATATGATCCTGGAAGCCAGCCATGCTAATCTGCTCTGTAGTCTCAGGGAATGACTGCAAATGGGATGGTCCAACCATCCCACGCTTGTAGTAGTTTCCTATCAGTATGTCCTCAAGACTTCCACGTTTAAGAGGCACTCATACCCAGATGGTGCTGAACACACCCTTTTTGCATCCTTAGGGAGTCAAAGTACTTGCAGAGAAAAGGAGCATTGCAGATGGAGATGAAAAGCCATTAGAAATAGACCCACTCACAGTTGTTGGGAGCTCTACTGAAGACAGCTTTGGGAGGGCTGGAAGTGCACCTCAGCCCTGTTAACCTGGCAAGTCACGTTACATCATCAGGAAGTGGGTGGAGGTCTGAAAGGGCAAGGGAGAACCAGGCTTGGCTTCAAAATACCAAATGGTTTCTACTGTTCGGGGAACTCAATGAATAAGCTCAGTCTAGGGCAGAAGAGAAAAGAACTAAAGGTGAAACTGAAAAACAGTGGAGATGAGTCAGTGAGAAGATGGCTTCTTAGGAAAAGTGTGGGACGTATACGCAGCATTTATTTTGTAATTTGTCAAAAGTGTAAATTGATAAAGTTTGAAGTGTAATTTGACAAAACCTATCTGGCCATGCAGAGAAGGCAAATATGCATTTGTCAAGTTGCATTGATGATGCTGTCCTTCCCCTGTTCTATTGTCTTTGAAAGCCTCAGACAGCAATGAGAACGACTCTAAAGCTACAAGACATTTCTCACATTGCCAAGCAGAAAGCTGTCACTGATAGCTTCAATTTTGCAAGGCCATTATTTTTTGCAGATACTATCCACTCTTTCCAGTGCTGGGAAGTGTTTAATCTGTGCAGCAGATAGTAAAAGCAGCTCTGAACTGAGCAGCTGACAACCAAATGTCTCCCATGAGAAAGAGGTTTGCACCCAGATGTGGATTTGCAGCATTCAGAAGCCAAAGGGGCTGAAACCATCATTAGCAATGACCACTGTAATGTACCTGTATGTCATGATGCTGTCATTCTTTGTAGATCAATAGTTGTCTTTTAAGGGTTTGTACATTACTTGATGCTTTGCGAGATCAGAGTGTGAGTATTTGAAGCTCAGCAGAAAAGCATCTATTAAAGGGGATACAAGACAGAAAGAACCAATAGACAAATCCTCTCAGATTTGAACTGTCTCTTTGTCTGAAGGTGGCACCTTTAAGAAAGCCAATGAGAGGTCATACAGTGATGGAAAAAGTGTGCTCAAATGTGGAGATCTAGAGAAGGCTATGAGTCAACTGCCTCCTCCCCAGTTCTTCAGAACAAGATCTCAGTGGGAACAGATGATTCTTTCCCTATGGAACTGGGATGATGAAGAGTTTCTGATGGAAACAAGAGTCAAAAATACCAAGAAAGCTGAGGCAGGTAGAGATGCACTGACACTTGTAGGTCCTTCATGTGCAGTGGCTGGAGGAGAGAAGAGATGGGAACTGGGAAGATGAGTCTTGTGCTTAGTGCATAAAACCCGCCAAAGCATTGCCAGAGGAGATAAATGATGAGACAGTGCCCCAGCAAATACCATCTGCTCTAGAAAGTGAGGTACCTCCAGTTCCTGATGTGGAAGATATAGAGAACTGCATCTACCAAAACTGACCAGATTCTGCCAAAGGCTTTACGGAATTATAGAACATTCTGAGTTGGAAAAGATTCATAAGGATCATCAAGTCCAACTCTTGCTCTACACAGGACACCCAAATATCAGACCACCTGCCTGAAAGCATTGTCCAAATTTTTCTTGAACTCCAGCAAGCTCAGTGACATGACCACTTCTTTGGGGAGACTCTTCCAATACCCGACAGCCCTGTAATTAAAGAACATTTTCCTCATATTCAAACTTCTGTGAGCTTCCCTGGTCATAGCTTCATGCCATTCCCGTGGGTTCTATCGCTGGTCACCAGAGAGAGGTATGCAAGGTAATAGATTCCATCTGGTTGGAAGAGGGCTGAACCCTGGACTGCCTTCTGCACCACTTCACCCCAAGCAGAGGGTATCAAATATCCACCCTCTAAACTCTCAGTGAGTTTTCCAGCAGGTTAACAGCAAATGCTGAATCCTGCTAGACAAAGAGCTGGCAACCTCCCTGCTCGTGAATATTTATGACTTGTCCCAGTGCCTGTGCAGTTCAGGATGTCTGCTCCAGGACATCTCAACCAGCACATATGTTAAGGGAGTGGTGGGAGGGGACAGGGGATGCCATAGGAGTGTGAAACCATTACAAGCATATCCTTTGGTGCAACAAACTGGGTTGCCTGGGGCACAGGCTGGGGGACAGGCAAGGGAATATTTTAAAAACACAAGACCCAACAAGCAGTGCAGGGAGAAGTGTGGATTTCAGCCTCCAAATGCAGCGCACGTCGATGGAGATTTCAGCAGCCGCCTCTGTGCCCAGTGGTTCAGCAGATATCAGATCACTTAATGGGTACTGGTCCCTTGGGCCAGGCACACAACGAGCCATCTCGGGTCATTTACCAGACAGGCCGGGATGCTTTCAGACCATTCCTGACCAGGAAGTAATTAAGTGGCTTCCTATTTGTATTCTCCTGAGCTCCACTTGTCTGCAAGTGCTCATTAGTTACAATACAGCCAGACAGCATTTGCAGTGTGCAGCAGCCAGCTCTGTATTAAGCCCCAAGGTCCAGTTCAGCTCTAGCTCAGAGACTGGCAATGAGGCATTCCCTGGCCTCTGCTGGAAGCAGTTTGGTGTACTGGCCATTAGACACTAAACACACAAAGCCACCAACATCCTCGAAGCACTGCTGAAATACACTGCCATTGTTTTCATAGCCCTAAATACTCTCCAGATCTCAGTAGCTTGGATATTTGCTTAGAGGCACCATCCTCTTCTTCCCTCCAGGTAGAAATGCATGACCAGCATTTCCTCTTGCTTCCAGTCAGGGACTTGTCATCCACTGCTGGTAGATGCAATGGCTTCCTGAGGTGGAACACTCCCCATAGGTGTGCCTTATTTTTGGATGGAAGCCACCACCAAGCCCTCCTAGTCCCAACAGCACACAGACATTGGCTATATCTTGGCAAAGACAACGACCCAGTATATGATGGCTCTCAGCAGAGCTTGTAGGTATCAGCACTTTGCTGTTGACAGACAGCTGTGTCATTGGGCAGAGCTTCTCTGCATGATGCACCAACACTGTGGGGATGAGCACCATCTTTCAAATGGGTTTCAGTATGAGAAAGAGGAGACGTAGAGGGAAAAGTGAGTGTTTTGTGGAGGGCAAGCCAAACAGGGAGAGGGTGAGATTGGAGCTGGAGAAGGCTTCATGGTCTGTTGTCTGAGCAATACAAAAAGGCTACATCATCTCATGATCTCTGAGAAGCCCCCACACACAGCACGTGCCCCTGCCTACCTCAGGCAGCTTGACTCGTCCCTCCTGGAAGGAGCAGGTGCTGGGATCATGAGTGCAGACGTGGCGGTACTTGCACCAGTGGCACCGGTAAGGGCTCTCCACACATGACAGACACCTGGAGATGGAGGGAAAAAGGAGTCACTTGGACAGTCTGGCCTTTTCTACAAATAGGACAGACCAGGAGGTTGAGAGTGCTTGTCAGAGATAAAAATAGTCCGTCAAACATTGCTTTTACAATACTAGTGGAAAACCATAGGCTTTGAACTGGCCTGATATCATCAGGTCTCCAGATGGCACTTTGCTTGCCATGGCCTGAGCTGGGTTTCGCTGTGACTGATGTATCTTCCACTATTTAGAAAATTCAGACTGCTTTAATTTCACTCTAACTAGACTAATGATATTGTTGTTGTATTTTGGTTACCCTGTTACTACTTCTAATGAGATTTACAACAGGTCTTTGGCTTCATACACAAGGCGTGCTCCCCTTTTGCCCATAACAAGATTCTGAGTGTAACAAAAAAAAAAACTAAAAACCAGAGGATGTTCATGATCAGCTGAGAAACTGCAATGGCCTCACTGCTTCTGTGCAAAACTGCAGCAACGCCCTGAGAGCTGTGAACAAATCATGAGAAGGTGCCCAAGGTAGGGGCTGAAAGAATAGTGGTGCCCATGGAGGGCAGTCGTGGTGCACCAGAAGTCCCATCTGGCTGATTCTGCCTCCCTGAAATGTTGTGCAGAGGCCACCAGAAAGTGGTATGCATCAAGCTCAGGATCAAGCAGGACATACTGTCCCACAGGCTTATTATTATGATTTGAGCCCAGAGTGATGGGGATCCTGCACATATTTTGGCTGTACTCTTTCTTGTCTCAGCAGAGACAGAAAGACCTAGCAGTTTTTTGGGAAGCAGGAGGCGTATTTATGAAGTGACATATTCAGAGTATAGGAGAGAGCCAGTCCCACCATTTTGTAAGCATTTGCTCTCCTACATCCCATAGTCCCCATAGAGTATAAGCTGCAAACACTTTTTTGAGACTATTTTACAGCACTGACTTATACCTACATCACATTTTTTTATTTATTTGATATGATGTCTGTCCACCAGGAACCACACTGAGCCATAACAAATTGTTTACACAAAACAAGCACTGGATGGTAACAACTCCTGGTTGCTCACTGTCAGAGATCTTCATGCTGCTGCAGTCTCTGAAATACCTGAAGGGGATTTTGGAAGGAAATTTTCCTGGCCTGTATGTGCCACTGGGTTTTTAATGGGCTGAAGTGGAAAAAAATGCCTCCAGGATAGCTTGGCTAAGTGCAGCAGGCAGACACACACCCTCAGTCCTGTCTTTCTGTGAAATCTCGTTCAACTTCAATCCACTTTCAGCTCTGGTACAGCGAGCTGTTCTTCAAATTGGTAACAAGTGCTTGCTCTGATACATCAAATTAAAAATGGATAGTGTATTATAGTTTGTCAAGTAAGGAACCAAAACATGCCATAAATATTTAACACCACCATCTCTCCTCCTCTCCCCCCCAACACTTGCTTTCTGACACTGTTTGTCAAAGCAGCAGGAACAAGGAAATAGGATTTGCCTTTGCTTGTGAATTGCTGAGCCGCAGTAATTATCTGCTTTTGGCACTTCTGATGGCTCAGTGGTGGTGACAGAGCCCTCAGACTTGCTCAGGGGTGGATCAATGTGCTGGAAGAACATCATCCTGCTTTGGCAGTCTTACTCTGGTGGGACAGCTGCTGTGTACCAGCTAAATCCCATGATAATGTGGTGCAGGGCAGGAAAGGAACTTGCAAGATAGAGAAGATGGGTTTGAAGAAATCAGCTGGGCAGTCCCCACTCTATTCACATCATACGGAATCCATAACTCCCATCTTTCCAGATTAGAGAACTCAAACCCATGCTAACCACTGGGGCAGGACCCTGCTGGCAGGACTGATATGGATAAGGGCTGGAGGTGCATATATTTGGGCAGAATCCAACCATCCACAAACAACTGCTTACTAGGAAGACAAAGGGGTCCTTTGCTGAAGTCAGAGATTGCTTTTGACTTGCTTCAATGCAAACTCCTACTGATCCTCCTTTCCCTGAGGGACATGTGATGATGTACCATTACTCAAGGCAATGCTCTCCTCCATAGGAGGATCATAGTGGAACAAATGTTCACTATGCCACCCCTGGTTTTCCCAGGAGAGACAGCATCATGCTGACCATTACTGATGTCATTCTGACTGCTGCTCTCCTCCACACCTGACCAAATTTCTGAGGGACGCACACCTCCCTGGGTTCTGTGGCAGATCCAGGGTTGGGATAAAAAAGGTATTAAAGGAACTTGACGTACGAATTGTGAACACTGCAGTTGTAGAAGACGAAGCTGGTGCTGGCAAAGGTCATACCCGTTTCCTTGGACTTGAGCTGGAGCTGGACTATGTGATGGTCTCCTAAGAAAAAAAAATATACATCAGTTTGTGACTGTATTAGCACAGCTAAGCCCTGTTGGCCATGCCACCAGTCTGAACAAGTAGCTGGTCCAGAGTAACCAAGCTAGTTTATCTTCAGTGGGTGAAGGAAGGGCAATAAAATCTGTCTACAGCTCAGACCTCCAAAAAGTACACCTGCCTCCATAATGGTATTGCAGTGATGCATTAAGTCTTCACCACTGGAAAACTGCAAGCAAGGTCTGTGGTGGGTGATACCAACAGGTCTAGGTAATAAATCTCTGATTTCAAAACTATGGTAAATGAAGTCAGCAAGTAGGAAAGCTGAGTGCAAAGAGTAGATGGAGATGCCTGGAATAAGAAGCTCATTCAAATGGAGCTGTCAGTCCTGTAGGTTCCACCAAAGAAAGCGGCCTGTGAGAGATTGGGTACATCTTCTTCTCACCATCATTATTTATCATCTCTGAATATAGCCCAATACCCAGGACAGGGTAGGGATCCCATGTCATTCACCCCAATGTCCATACAGCCCAGTCTTTGGCTACAAACAACCCAGCTTAATGTGGGAGAGACATCCACAAGTCTCTGTATGCTTCTGGAAGTGTCAATCCATTTCCACAGCAGGCCCATCAGCAGCAAAGCTTGAGCCTCAGCTTCTGGACACTAACTCCCCTTTCCCACTGCTCCCAAGCCAAGCAGACAAGTGCCATCTCTTCTTACAATGCCAAAGGCCCCATTCAAAACTCAGCACATGTGGGAAACGACTGGGTACAGAAATTGCAGTAATTTAGTGGGGAAGGGACCCATGTTTAATTCAAATCTTTGGCTTGGCTAGCCCTTTCACCTCTATTATTTTCCTTCTCACCTGAAAGATTCATTAATCAAACAGGCCAAAGTAAACTTGACAATTCATCTCGGCTCATCCACCTACAGGCATACACACACACATACAACCACACACACACACAAACCACACACTTCACTGAGCACGTTTTGCTGCCAGTGCTCAACTCTGCTGCCCATCTGCTGCCGTCGGCTTTGACAGCTCTGTTAACCACTTCGTATTTAACAACTTTGCCAGTGTCTTGCATATATTTTAAAACAGGATGTGAGGATTGGATGGCTGCAAGGATCAGATGTTCTACAGAGCCACACATCCTTTGGTTCAAATCCAGTTTCTGGCCCTGTGCATGGAAGATGTGGTCTTTGCAGAGGTGCAGATCACCAGCTGAAGTTGATACAAGCTGCAGGTGCTCAGCATCACACTTCACATAAATCTCTCTCTCTCTTGTTCTGCCTTGAGCCTCCATTGCTATTTTTGCTTGCTTGTCGATGGTAGCCTGGCCTGAGACAGATGTCTGTATCAAGGAAATAGTTCCTGGCAGCTATCTTGGTAAGTAAACATAGTTGATGATTCAGTGGGACCTGAAAATGAGAACTGCCCCTTGGGGGCTTCTTTTGGGACCACAGTGGAGAGTACACACAGCTGTGTGCAGCTTGGGGAGAGCAGGGGGAGGTGATGGTGACAGCTTGTGTAACCTCATTTCTATGGCCAGTAGGGATCCCTGGAGGCTCTCCAGTAATATTTCACAAGAAGCCAAGGAGTGTAATGGCTACATCCTCTCTGCACTTCATGAGGTGATCAATAGAGTTGAGGTTTTTATAGCAAATCTCTGCAAGAGCCACAGGTGCTCTTGAAAGTATCAAGAAAAGCATTAGAAAAGGGAAGCCAAAAAGGGCATGAAGCTGGGGATAAGGGGCCCATCCTGGGAGACAAGGTATTTCTGCACTGAATCGTTCTAGGATGGAGCCAGCAACAAACATGAGCATGAGTACAGGAGCAAAAAATGACCAGTGACAGAGACAACTGAACACGCAGACCTAAAGGTAAGATGAATAGGATAAAACTGTGGAAAGGACTGTTCGGGTCTGCAGGATTTTCTTGCTGCTGTGTTGAGATGTATTGAGAGCATTTCCAATCTTTTTACTTGGGATGTACCACAACAGCCTGGGCAATAAACGAGTGGAGAGCCTTCATCTGACTCTTGTTTTTGCTAGATATAGGCAACTACCACTCGGTGGCAGTCTGAAGACACGTACTACCATGCATATAGGCACCTAAATGCAGGTACTGATAGTGTAGCTCAACACTCACACACATAAACTCACACATTCAGCTCACTCATGCTACAGCTGTAGCAATCACTGGCAGCATAACCCTCACCCCTATGCTTTGCATAACCTGTTCTCAGGCTCCCATATGCCAAAATCTTGGAGAACAAGCAATACGAAAGACATAAAGATAAGAGACGAGGAAGGGAGGAAGAACTGAGAGCTGTGTGGTACTCACCATTCTCTGTGATGATCTGGGGCACCTCTTTGGCAGCTGGTGAGATGCACTGGATCTGACTGCCCACTACCAAGCCATCCATCTCTGACAGGTCCTCGAAGGTGCAGTTGACTCCTGCTGACAGCTCAGGGACATTGTAGGTCTCCAAGACCAGCTGCAAGTGAAGATGGATGGAGGGAAGAAGAGATAAGGGAAAAAAAAAAAAAAGAGAGAGAGAGAAAATACTGAGCTGAACAACAGAGCTGGGTCAGCAGGAGAGAATTACACTGGAGAGGTTGGACAAAGAGCCTCTTGCTAGAGAGAGCATCCTCCTTCAACAGAAAGCAGCGATTCAGGAGAGGGATGTGTGTGCGGAGGGGGAAGGGGATGAGATGCTGATGCCAACACAAGTGGTACGTGGCTATGCAGGGACAACTGCACTGCATCCCAGTGCTGCTGGGTCAGTGGAGGGGAGGGAGTGCTCTCTATCTGTCATGCAAGTGTAAGGTTAAACAGGGAGTCTTTGGAGCCGGCTGTGAAGACCAGGGCTTTGGTGGCCCCAAGGCACGCGGTTTCTGAGGAAGGTGACTACTACTCACAAGAGGCACTCTGCAGACTACAGAGAAACTGTAATGCTCCAGTCTAACTCTCTACGGCCTGCTCTCCTAGCATCAGCAGATGGGGGAGCGCTCTGTCACCAAGTTCCTGCGTAAGGAGAGTCTAGTTACAGGCTTCAGTTCACCACAAAAAACCTCTTTCTCTAGAGGCATAACAAATTTCTCCTGCCCATCCCACAAAAGATGGCCTTAGGGGCATGCTGTATTTGGGAGCTCTGCATAAACAAAGCAGTGAAGGAGGAACTGCCCATGTTAATCATGTGCACCCACCAGCTTTGCTATGTCATTACCCACGGTCATGAAAGGAAAGAAGCATGTGGCTGTTTATCTCCTCTAGAGAAGGACCCTCACGCTGCCACTTTCCCAGGTCAGCTAAGGTTCCTCTGCTGTCCATCATGGAGTGTCTTGCTCAACCCACCCTTGGATCACAGACATGCCATGTCCAAAGGCAAAGAAGCATATCAGGGTACTTTTATCACCTGCTAATGAGCTACTATAGATTTAGAGCTATTGTGGCCAACCACTAAAGCCAGACACTTGAGGCAGGCACAAATGCAAGTACTCTCCACACTTGCCTCCGCTTTGAACAAGCTGAGGCTCCATCTGTGGTGACAGCCACTGAAAGGAGACACAAATGCATCCTGAAGTGTTTTTGCTACCAGTACAAGGAACAGAGGAGGTCAGCTCAGTCCAGGTGATAAAGCAGGAGAGGACAATATCATTGCTTTTGCCTATTGCTTCTTTACATTGCGTTTTCCTCACTAAGAGAAGGTTTGGAGCTATTCCTTAATGCTAGATCTTGTAAGATAGAAAGGCCAAAGATTGGCCTTTGCTCTGCATAACATAAAGCCTTTGTGAAATCTGTTTATTTTGTAGTGATGGGAACGGCAGTGGGAAAGGAAATCATGTCTTGGGTGGGGATTAGAAAAAATGTATGGGTGTTTGATAGATTTATCACTCAATCTAAATCCATTCTACCTCTTCATCTATATACTGTTACAGATGGAGAAGAGGAAACTTCTGCTTAATTAATATTATTCTTTGTGCACAGAAGACGCAGAATAAAGATGCGCCATGGAGAAGATGATGGCAATGGACAGAGCAGTAGTGCTTGGCCATAAACCTCACGAGCCAAGGTTCACCTGGAACAAACAAGTCCTACATCCTTCAAGCTTTTTCTGGAGCTTCTGCAATGAGGGAAGAACACAGACTTCACTCCAACAAATCTCCCTTCTCATTGATCCCCAAGTTCCTGAAACAGACTCAGATAAAACTTTGCAAGTCCCTGTTAACAACTAGAAGATAGAAGACTGGCTGGCCACACATACCTTCTCTGCCTCTGTGGGCAAGAATTCAATATCATCCCTCTGCCCAAGTGAGACTCAGTAAGGACACCACCAATTCATCTAATAGTGCTCCTGTTTGGGTTTGCCAAGAGATTATCTGTGGTGATGGTGGATGAGCTGGGACACCAGTCTAAACAGGTCTGGGATGAGATTCCCATGGCAATGCTGCCCAGATAACTGGGCAACAGTTAGACAGTGGCAACTAATGTCAGAAGCTCGGGGTTGAAGTGCCCTGCCAGAGTAATCCAGAGGCAAAAGTCTTTTATTCTGTTATCAGTTTCAATCACCCTAAGCCAGCTAGTCCCCCAGGATTTATCCCATGATAAAAGAATTCAAAAACTACTGAGAGAATAAGAAAAAGGAACCTTGAACTCCCAGAAGAACAAAGGACTTAAGATGTCTCAGATCAATTTTGTTTGAAGCCTCGGAAAGTAAAGTCATAGCAAAGTTAAGAGGCTGAAACAAAGCAGTAATGAATGGACATGCAGGCTTTGAAAGGCTGATTTCATTATCACTGAAGAAACTCTAGTACTCCAAAAACTATCACCTAGAAGATATCTGGCAGCTACACCTTCAGCAACACCATGTAGAACTTTCAGAGCGTGGGACTAGTCAACAGCTTAGCCAGACACAGAGCTCTTGGTCTTCAATTATCACTTCAATTCCAGCCTAAACTACTATGCTCAAAAGGACAGAGCCCTAATAACCTGGATAAAATGGATCTCTTCTCCTTCTTGGGGAATACTGGGAATTCGCCATGTAAGGTACTGTTATGAGTAAGGAAAGAAACGATAAGCTAGTTAGAACTTCCACACAGATTTCTTGCTTTATGTCCAGATAAAGATCAGGACCTACTTCTCTGCCAGCACTCACTGCATGGCTACATTGGCTGCTGTCTTCAGTAGCTCTAGGGCATCAAGGCTAAACTTCGTGCCAAGGAAAGTCATATGCGCTAATTATGCTTGCTCAAATGACTTGGCAGACTTGAAGTTTATTGAAATAATTCATGATAGTCCTCACTTGTCCTCTTTCTAGAAGGTCAGTTCTAACTGTGACAATGTCCCTTGCTTAAACTCCATTCCCAGTCATTCACAAATCCGTCTCCCAAGGAAGCAGACAACCTCACTGCGCACTCAGAGCACTTGCAGGGCATGCAGTCCCATCACACCTGCCCTCAGCTCCTCACAGCAAAAAGGGAAGTCTCTTTCCACACTTTTAGCCAGGATAACCAGGGACTGAATGAATGCCCACCCATGGTGAATATTTCACTGTGCCAAGCAAGACATCGGGGAACTTAACGGACTGTGGAGCACCTTTGCATCATGCTGCCAGCCCTTCCCAATCCTGCTGAATCCAGATTGGACATATTTGGGTCTATCAGACCTTATGAGCAGATTAAACCGGAAGGGGACAGTGACAACATTCCTTACCAATACATTGTACTGGGAGACAGAGATGTTGTTGGGATGCACAGTCAGCCGGACACACTGCTTCATCTCCGAGGCGAATCTCCGAGGCTCACTGGAGCGCTCACACCGCTCCTTCCTTGTGCACCTGAGCAAACAGGAAAAGAGATGGGCAGGGTTAACATGAAGTCAGGCTGGGACAGGGAGGACGTGGGAGAAGCAATCGTTTCAGACTGCAATGGCTGGAAAGCCTTCAAAATCATCCCGGAACACTATGATTCCAATGCTGGAATAGGCTGCCCAGAGATGGTGTGGATGTGCCATCCCTGGAGGTGTTTAAAACCAGGTTGGATGGGACCCTGGGTAACCTGATCTAGTGCTTGATTTAGTGGTTGGCAACTAGATGAGGTTGGAACTAGATGATCTTTGAGATCCCTTTCAACAAAAGCCATTCAATGATTCTATGATTTTATGATTTTAAAAGCCATGGTGCATCTCAGCAGGCTGTGGTAAGGACACCACGATAATAGGAAGGGTGTGGGTGAAAGCCCCATCCCTCGATGAGGATGCACAGCTCTAGAGATGCTCTGCTGTTAACCCATGCAGCATGTCTGGGAGAACCAGGAGTCCTGAAAACTGCATGATCCAGAGGCAGTGGTACATCTTATAGAGGGATGAGTGTCCTTTAGACTGGTTGTATATAGTCTATGTTCTTTGATCCTTCTAAGGATACTGCAAATTTGTGATACTTTTGAGCTGCTGATATCACTCTGCTGGGAAGGAGCAGAGTGATTGCCAAGGAACTAAAGTGGTCCCCAGCAAAAAGAGGTTTCTTTGGCATCTGATTTGAAAACACCTGATGAGAAGTTCCTGTGTTTGAACCTGAAAAAGTACTGGTGTTCCCAGTGAATGGCAATGAGACGGGTGCATGGCACTTCAGCAGAAGTCCCTAAAACTGTTCATTCTTTGCCACGAGTGCTGAAAGCACAGTCACCATCTCTCATCTTTTCTGCCAGGAGTAGACACAAGGCAGCAATGTGAAGTGGCAGTGGTGTGTCCCACCTCAATCTATGTTTGCATTCAGTTGGAGTAAAACACATCTGCACTGCACTCAACATGTGCTGCTAAGGCCATTGCTTCAAGGAGGATCTGCCTTAAAATGCACAGGGTTAATACAGAAGGACAGCTCCAACTGCATGCCAATTACCTTTTGCCATTAAGCTAATGTTATGGACTTGCACTGGGTGTCTGCAATAGATTTCATTATTAGCAGTGCTATTACCCCCCATTAAAATCAGCTATAAAGACTAAGTGCAGATGTTAAATTATTCACCCACTCCCAGACTTTGGAGTTTTAGTTACAAGCACAGAGGATTTGGTGGAGGATTAGCTCCATGATCACCCCTCACCATGCTTTCTTCCAAGAGCAGAGGTTGCACCTCTATGCACAGGGATTTGCAGGCAGGAATCTAAGGCAACACATGTGAAACAAATCCAGCATATGGCAGACTCTGAATGTTACAAAGCTTGGAGTCTGGCCTTAAACTTTAGGGCTTAGCTTCTCTCTAGCAAATGGCACTAGATAAAATGAACGTCTCAATTTAAAAGTCATATTGCTCCATCTCTATGGTAAAGTTGTGTGTTTCCAGTGACAGGAAACATGAAGAGAGATCTCTGCAGTTCTCAGCAGGCTCTTGGTTTGCTTTGCAGATATAAGAGAGCAAGAGCAGCACTGCAGCTCCCTGTGAGCATTCATTCCATTAAGGGTCCTTTAGTGCTGCCGCATGCTGGATCAGGAGTTTTAAATGCTCAGTCTCCAGAGGGCTGGATGGATAGGAGATTAACTGCTGTAAGTCCCCTATCACGGAATGAAAGCCACAGCAAAACGCTGACCTGAGAATTTGGTAAGCACTTCTGTAAAACAAATAGGCACAGCAATCCCATTACAGCTCTGTGGGGCATAGGAAATCTCCTGAGAATAGCTCAGATGGAAACTCGTTTGGGGTTTGGCGTCAAAGCACAAGAGTCTAAGTTCTACAAGAAGCCCACCTCCCTCCCATTTATTCTCTCCCAACTGCAGTGTGACAGAAACATCCGGATTTTCTAAAAGTGAATGAGCAGTTCAAGTGCAGCAGCACAAGAAGTCACAAACGCATCCAGTATCTTTGCACAGCAGGACAACACACTGGTCTAGGTCAAGCTCCAAGGAGCTTGGTTTGTCTTCCCAGCCCCACCATGGAGCTTCAATATGATAATCATAGAATCGTTAGGGTTGGAAAAGACCACTAAGATCATCAAGTCCAATTATCACCATCATGCCCACTAAATGATGTCTCTCAAAGACCTTATCAAGACCAATCAAGACCTCATCCTGCTGTTTACTGCTCATAGACATTAAAGAGATGAAACTCTTCAGACCAAAGCCTCACTCAGACTGATGCGTCTTACAGCCTTGACATCTGTTGAAAGGTGTATTACAATCCAAATAATGAAATGATGAAAAACTGCCTCAAACTAAGCCTGGTTTTAGCATGAAGATAAGGTTGCAGTGTCAGGCTCTCAGGAATTAGGTTCTGGCAGATTGAGAGTAGCTTCTGCATTCTTAAATCTGCTCCCTGCGCTGACACTCTGTAAGCCAGACTTTAATTACAGGATCACACATTATTATTTCTTTTTTCCATGAGTGACCTCAGTTCTGCCACTTCATAACATTTGACTTTAACTATCTGACTTTTCCAGTGAAATGTCTCAATTTAAAACAAAAGATGAAAGAAGAAGAAGAAAAAAAAACAAACAAAAAAAACCCACCTGGCTGTGCTTGATGCCCAAATGTGGTGATGAGGCAGCTCTGCCACACAGAGCCAAACCAAGCCTGAGTTTAGTAACTGATGGGGTTCAAGCCTTCAAATAAGCATCACAGATCCACTCCTTGAGCCAGCAGCATAATTGATTACAGGTAACTGACCCCAGCTGCTGCCTAAATCAAGACTAAAGGCACAATGCCACCTGCCAGTGGGTTCTGCAGCTCAGAGCATGCAGGGAGGAGTGATTGAGGCTCTTCTCCAGAGTCTTTTGCACATGGTGACACCCATCTCCCCTTTCCTGAACCATTTCATCAATCCTAAGCTGGAGTATATGGGGCAGGAAAAGGTATAAAGCAACCTTTCTCTCCTGTCTTCTGCACTGCCATAAATCATAGAATCAGTTGAGTTGGAAGGGACCTTTAAAGGTCACCTAGTCCAACTCCCTGCAATGAACAGGGAACTTTGATCAGGTGCTCAGAGCCCTATCCAGCCTGGCCTTGAGTGTGGCCAGAGACAGAGCATCCACCTCATATCTGGGCAACCCATTCCAGTGCCTCACCACCCTTATCGTAAACATCTTTTTTCCTTATGTCCATTCTAAATCTCCTCTCTTTTAGTTTGAAACCATTTCCACTTGTCCTATCACCGCAGACCCTGGTAAAGAGGGTCTGCTAAAGAGTCTGTCCCCTTCTTTGTTAACACTACACTCTCCCACAAGAGTCAGGGAAAACAGCAGGGAAAATTGTTTCAGCATGTGCAGAGGAAATGATTGTCTTCTGACACTGATCTCTTAAATCCCCAAATGGTGTCAGATGAGAAACCAACGCAAATGCAGCAAAGCACCTGACCACTAAAGCAGCTGCCCAAAGGGGCCACTGTAGTCCAAAAAGAGAACTGTGCTCTCAAATGCTGCATCTGTTGCCCCTCTCTGTTGCTGCTTCTGTCGAAAAATATCTTGTACTGCCAATAATTGCTTCGCTTTAATAAAATATCAGTAACTCCAACGTGCTGGCTCTGTCAATACGCTGAGATCACTTTCCACTGCCATACAACCTAATTCAGTGCTATTCACGCTATAATTAGCTGGTGCATAACTCCCACCCAGTAGCATCACATTACATTTAAGACACCTAAAAGAGCATATTCCATTCCTGAACTTATTTGCATAAGATTACGGTATAGACATGACACTTCTCTGTATATCTTAATAACACCTGCTATTTCATATCAGCTGCATCTTTAACAATTGCAAGTGTCCTGCTGCTGCATGAAGCATTAGTGCAAACACTAAGAAACTGGTTCTACCACTGAACCATGAGGAGTATTATTTCCTCCTCATCTCCCATTAAGAGTAAATACTGCTAACACCAACCCTCTGTTCACTACCCTCTAACCAATTATTTTAATCATGTTAAATTAATACTTTGCACTCCTATAGCATCTCTCATCCGAGGATCTCAGAGGGCTTTGCCTGGAGCTAATTAATCTTCACATCACCTCTGTGAGGTAGAAACATTCCCATTCAGAGACTGGAAAGGGAAGTATAGATGCATACATGTCAGATAGCCAAGCAAAACCCAGTTTTCTTGAGGATGCCATAAGGACTTCAGTTAGGGATGGCAATTAAATCCCAGCTTGATCATCTGGAATCTAAAACAACATTCCAGGGCCAATTCTGCAAATACTTGTTGCATTGTCAGAGGTGTTATTCTAACTCTGCAATGAGATGTCAATGGCTCTTCTACCTTGATAGGTAGATTCACCTCACCACCTCCAGGTTTTGCCCTAAGTGTCCAGTGTTAGAAGAAATAATTCTACCCATTAAGTTCCATGCACCTGGATACACCAGACAGAAGAAGAGTTGAGAGGGGTACTCATCCATGTGCAAGCTCTTTGTTTACCCTGTGCACAGCATGAAAAACAGATCATGATGCTGAAGGGTTGCCAGCCTAGCAGAAGGCATGCAAGTCATGTGCATGCTTTCACCTGCCTCCGCCTCTCAGTGAAGACACATCTTCACTGATCAGATGTAGGGAAAAAAACCAAACACAACAAGACAAACAACAAAAGATCACACAGAACCCAAGGAATGCAAAACCAAAAACTCATAACCTTTGTTTCTCATCCTGGCCTCTTCTGGGCTATGTCTTTGTTTCCTCCATGCCCAACGTAGTGGAGTTCTTATACTTGCTGAACTGTCCCTGTACAGTCCTACAGACTATCATCTCCATCCTATCAGGTTACTCTCAAGAGTTTCTCTCATACATCTCTCTCCCACCTTAGGATTGTGTCTTTGCCATTCACACCTCATGGGATCTCAGCTCATCGTGAAGAAGTGGATGAG